AGCTCGGGCCTGCCTGCGCGTTTTCCCACGTGCACCGGCGGGTGCGCAGGGGTGTCCGGCGGGGTGTCCGGCTGCCCGCCCTGCCCTCTTGGGAGCTCAAGTCTTCCAGATCCGCACCCTGATTTTACTGTCACACTTAAGCGCCTGCAACTTGTAGGTGGCAACTAAGGGCGCTCTATGGTCATTAAAGACAACGAGACTGTATTTCACTTGGTAACAGCTTGGAAAAACCCGCCCCCAAAACCACCCAGCTCGAATCTTGGGCAAGCCCAAGAAGTGCAGCAAAGGTGTTCAGGCTCGCGCTGCAGCAGACACAGCGGACACTCACCGTTGCAATGCAGTACGGGAGGTTGTTTTTACAGCCGGGGCACAGCAGTTCGCACTCTGGGAGCTGGAACGCACAGTAGGGACAGGCTGTTGTTGGCTCCTCTGCCTCTGTTGTGTCTGGACGTCTATAGAAGAAAGATACAAACGTGAGTAAAAACCTCAAGCACTTCGGACTTGATCACAGATGTTTTACAGTGCCTCTGACAGGTAGCAAGTGTTCTTCCTCTGAGTTACTTCCATAGCTTCCAGCTGCTGTTTTGTACTCTACTAGGTAAGTCCTTTAACTGGATCTCCCAAGCTTCACCAGAATTATGCAAACTCAGAAATAGGTCATTTTCCATCTCATTTGAAACACGACAACCTTCTTAAAGCTGTAACAGATCATAATACTTTGAAAGCTTTCCAAACTCATGGTCTCTATATACAGAATAGCAAGCTATAGTTTCTTTACTTCAGTGTTTTTCTGTGGCAGGAGTGACCACAAAGACCTGAAGTAACAAGCCATAAAACTGGCACCCTGGTGGGACTACACAGCTTGTAACTCTGCCCTGCACAGGCTTGTGCTTTCCCAAGCACCTGTCAGAATGAGGGATCTGCTCCAGCCATCACCACACCGGGGTTAAGGGCAGGGGGAGACTTTTTTTTTAAAAAAATTTCTTATGTGAACTTAACATTTAATCTTTCATGGAACATTTCTAGATGAAGAGCTTAGAGTTGCTTTCAGCCTATCTTCCAATGAAGAGGATAGCTCCTTTCTGATGTTTAGCCTAGTAATTCTGGAGACCATTAGATGGCTTCCTTAGTTATCCTGATACTATGTAGAAAGCCTGTTAGCTTGGTTTGTTTCCCTCGCAATGGCCTGTTCCTTTGTCTCCACCCCTGAAACCTGAGGTATGGATAAACATGATCGATGAAGAACAAGTCAATGTGGCTTTTAGCACTGAGGTCGTATTTTAGAAGCTCACTGGAACGTTCTAAAAATATTAACAAGCAGGCAACAGGGAAGAACTTTGCAGCCCTTCCATCCTTTCTTATCTTACCCATTTAGTCAGCAGCCTAAGCCACAGAAGAGTGCGCTGCTGGTGCTGTGGTGGCTCAGTTGACATGTACGTTCCTAACGAGAGAACAGCTAAAGCTGCATGGCTGCGCTCACATCTGTACGGGCAAGATCAGTTCTGGGCCCCTCACTACAAGAAAGACATTGAGCTGCTGCAGAGAGTGCAGAGAAGGGCAGCGAAGCTGGTGAAGGGTCAGGAGAACAGGTCTTATGAACAGCAGCTGAGGGAACTGGGGCTGTTTAGTCTTAAGAAAAGGAGGCTGAGGGGAGACCTTATCACTCTCTGCAACTACCTGAGAGGACATTGTGGAGAGATGTGTGCTGGTCTCTTCTCACAGCTAATGAATGATAGAACAAGAGGGAACGGACTCAAGCTGCACCAGGGTAGGTTTAGGCTTGACATTAGGAAAAATTTTTTCACTGAAAGGGCTGTCAGGCATTGGAACAGGCTGCCCAGGGAGGTGGTTGAGTCACCATCCCTTAATGTGTTTAAAGGTCGTTTAGATGTGGTGCTTGGCAATATGGTTTAGGGGTGTACTTGGTAGAGTGGGATGGTTGGTTGGACTTGATGATCTCAAAGGTCTTTTTCAACCTGAATGATTCTGTGATTCTCTGAAGATGGAACATGTTACTGCTGGTTAGGAAGCACTTTACATGCACGTTGCATTTAGGGTTTATCACACACAAGGGAACAGAAGAGCCTCTGATTTTCAGAGACAGGGGAATGGTTCTTAGCCTTCCAAATCTGAGACAGTGCAATAACATGAAAATAGGATAAAGCCCGTAGGCTGTATGAACAAAAATAACATTACAGATGAAGCCCTGCTATTGTGAACGTTTGGAAGTACAGATACCACTGCTCACCTGACCATTGCTTCAATTTTCTTTTTGTATTTAAGATCTATTTTATTACGATACTCATGTCTCATCAACATCGCAGCAAAATTGAAGGCTGAGTTCTTCAGTCCTGCTCTGTGACATTCAATTACAGTTGAAGTCAAAATTGGCACAATGTCTGTAAGAGAATGCAACAATGCTGTCAAATATGAATTTACCAATATTAATGTTGAAAGTCTTTGAGCTAACATGGCTAAAAAGGTACTGATGAAAAATGACAGTATTTTTCTTCTTCCTCATGGTACACAGCTGCACAATTTGTGCAATTCCTGTCACCACACACAAGAAAATCATGGTTTCACCTCTCACTGCCTTGCATTTCTGAAGCTCAGCATGGCAGCAGGAACGTTTTGATTATAACCATTTCTCCCAAAGCTGGTCTGCACTGTTTAAAGTCTACGTTTTAGTCTACATTCTCCATGTACCCAAAAAGTATTTTCAAAAGAAGATTGGTTAAAATTTCGTGATAAAGTCACAGAACCAATCATTACACGCGATCCTGAGACTCTGTGTGTGGTTCAGGCAGCTCAGCACTGCAGTTACGGTGGGTGAGGACAGATGAAACTGCTGGTGGGGAGCCCACTCTGGAGGCCGTATATCAAAGCGCTCCCCTGTGGGGGACGGCAGCGCGCACGGCGTATTCCCACCTTGTGGTGGGCCCTGCAGGATCACAGGAGGCGAATGCACGTTCTCATGCAGCGCCTGATGCGCTGCCCTGCAGAGCACAGCTGCCAGCACTTACGTGATGGGAACTTGCTGATGTTGTTGGCCACGCGTACAAGCATGCGCGCTCCCTTCAGGTGATCACCACGCTTCACGTGAATCTGGAACACAACAAACGTCGTGAATTCGCCGCAGCCTTCAGAGAGTAATTCCTGCAGCCTGCTGGGAGCTGCACGCCCACGGCTCCTTCGTGAAACAGAGCAGAGGGGCATCGTGCACTAGAGAAAGGACCAGAGACTTTATAGCGCCTCTTTCCCAGAGCCTTCAGCCCACTATCTGCCTGCCCTTGCCTCGCGGCTGGTGGAGAGGGAGGCCAGAAGCCGGCTGTAGGCTGAACAGACATCCTGATGGGCCACGGGTGAACTACTAGATATCATTTGAGCTCCCCTGCTTAATTTAATTTACAGAAAAGCAGCCAGTTATGAAGAATAATTAGTAACAATACTAGCAGCATAACGTATCTGTAAGTATGAAAGCAAAAGAAATACAGGAAGCCAGGTGTAGGTTTTTAATTATTTGGTATTTTAAAAAGAATATGCTAACCAGAGGCAGAAACAACCAAAGGGTATGGATTGTGCTTGTTAGCATGCACTCGGATTCTCTGATACAACTTCTATGACACAGTAATTTATGTATACAGAGCATCCATATGTACAGTTCAATAAATCAGAGACTGTGCAATTTATGCATAAATTCAGTTTCTCAATTCATTACCTTCACTAAAATATAGCTGTGTAGAATCATAAGGTTTGTAGCCATCTCAGAAGGAATTTTAATCTTCTGGGTCTTTAACTCTGAATACATACTGAAAAGAACATCATGTGCATTTCGGTAGTTTCCTTAAAAACAAACAACATTATTCAGTAAATTTAATTTTTCCTAACAACTTCTTTACTAATGACATAAACGGAAGCTGAACAGGAGGTTATGTTGATTCTTAGAGCAAAACCTTCACATGAGAATTTCTTTGGAAAGTCACAAGCAGTTGCTTGTCACAGTATCCTAACAGCATCAGCCAGGGAGTTAAAGAAGAAAAAACCCCACGCTTGGAGAAGTCATCTAAACAGTAGCAAAATACATATGTGGATGACAATTTCATATAATGAAACTCTAAAAATGGAAGATGCTGCATCCAGTACATTGCTTCCACAACAAGGAAGAGAAAAGGTATTTTTAGAGCATTTTGAGATGTTACCTCTTCTTGTTCTTCACTGTCAGACACTCAAAAGCTGTTGTTTAAATGTTAATTAACACATTTTTACTTTAGCAGTTGTGCTTTGGCAACTCCTTGCCTCTGCAACCAAACAAACCCAAAACCTTTCAGAGAGGTAATTAAAATTTGAATGTTAATTCACTACATTATACTGCTTCAAGGTTACTATCAAGGATTGTCCAGAAACCACAGGATTTCATTAAATTATCAACATAGCTGAAAACAACCAGTGCCTAAGTATGGTTAGTCTACTCTTAGCTAGTCGTTTGTTCTTGCTTTGGCTTGTGTGGGGTTTTTTTTTTTCCTCATTATTAAGAGTATGAGCAAGTCATACTCCTTGCAGCTGGAAGCATTTAAAGGAAATTTCAGATTCAGTTGTTTCAGCAAACTTTTCTCCTCTGTCTATATTTATCATTTTTACTCTATAGAGCAATCTGTTGCGTGTTGTTACACACTACAATTGAATCAACTAGTGGAATTTGTGCAAGGCAGCTAAATATCACTCCAGAATTAGTTGCTAGAAAACAACATTAATTTTTCCATGCTGTGTTACTGACTCTTGGTATAATAGGATCAGTCTTAAAATCATGTGATTACATAAAAATAACTTAAAGCAAAATTGCACAGAAAATGGCATACCCAAAGGAAAATACCAAACAGTCTGACTTTTAAGGAAAGAATAAACTATATTGGTGTAAACTTCAGAATCAAACTCACTGAAATCTCCTGATGGAAGAGGGGGACAATCTAAAACTGTGCCTCTGCAGAGGAAAGTTACTGCAAGCTCAGTGACTTCAATGAGAAAAATATTGTACTTTTATTATTACACTGCTGCAGAACACATCTATACTGTTAGGGAATATAAAATACAGTATGAGATACTGTATTCTACATAGAAGATTTCAGATTCAGAGAAGCTAGTAAATAATTAAACCCTTGAGCCTTTACATTTCCTGCTTATATAATTAGCACAAATGCAAATGCAAAGCCAAGTGCTGGGTCCTGCACTTGGGTCACAACAACCCCATGAAATGCCACAGGCTTGGGGATGAGTGGCTGGAGAGCTGCCCGGTGGAGAAGGACCTGGGGGTGCTGGTCGACAGCCGGCTGAACATGAGCCAGCAGTGTGCCCAGGTGGCCAAGAAGGCCAACAGCATCCTGGCCTGTATCAGAAGTAGTGTGGCCAGCAGGAGCAGGGAGGTGATCGTGCCCCTGTACCAGCACTGGTGAGGCTGCACCTCGAACGCTGTGTGCAGTTTTGGGCCTCTCACTACAAGAAGGACATTGAGGTGCTGGAGCGTGTCCAGAGAAGGGCAACGAAGCTGGTGAAGGGTCTGGAGAACAGGTCTTGTGAGAAGCGGCTGAGGAAACTGGGGCTGTTTAGTCTGGAGAAGAGGAGGCTGAGGGGAGACCTTATTGCTCTCTACAACTACCCGAAAGGAGGTTGTAGTGAGGTGGGGGTTGGTCTCTTCTCACAAGTAACAAGCGGCAGGATAAGAGGAAATGGCCTCAAGTTGTGCCAGGGGAGGTTTAGATTGGACATTAAGAAAAATTTCTTCACCAAAAGGGCTGTCAAGCATTGGAACAGGCTGTCCAGGGAGGTGGTGGAGTCACCATCCCTGGAGGTGTTCAAAAGACACATAGATGTGGCACTTAGGGACAAGGTTTAGTGGTGGACTGGGCAGTGCTAGGATAATGGCTGGACCTGATGATCTTAAAGGTCTTTTCCAACCTAAACGATTCTGTGATTCTATGACTATTCACTGCTATGATGAATTGGGAGATCCTGCTGGCCAAGGGTTTAAGCGATTTTCCACTCCTTAGCCCAGTGCTGAGGAGCAGCCCATAAATGCTAAGTTGCCTGGGCTGTTCTCGAGGCTGCTATTTTTCCTTTATAGATATTTTTCTTAACTTATTGAAATGAAAAACCAGCAGTGTTATGGTAGGGCTGTTGCCGTGGCTACAGAGGAGAGCAAATAATGGGGGTGATATCTAATTTGCTACTAGCCCTATCCCTTCTTATTACTTTTTTCTATTTAACTTCAGCTACCTATTACAGAGGAAAACAAGGCTTAAGTAAGCAGGTATCTGATCCTTCAACAGAAATCATCTCCCATGCACATCTCCCGCTGAAAAAAATGCGCAAAGACTTAAGGATCAGTATCCAAGTCGGAAACTGCATGTAGAAACTGCAACTCTGAGAGCTGTGATATACAGAAAAGTAAAGTTGCATGCAATTTTAATCGCTATGTGTACTTTAATGTAATATGCAATGCAGATATCTTCCACAATTTTCTTTTTATCCCAATATTTAATATACAGGTACGAGTCCCAACCTTTTCACAAAGGCTACTTCAAATTCAAAATGAAGCCTGAATATAATTAAAAGAACCAGTGAATGTCTTTTCTATGTATAATCCTATATAAATAATGGTACCCTAAGTACTGCAAGGATGCAGTGTCAGAGATGCTGTCATATCAGAGAAAACAGACTTACCTGAGCACTGCTCCTCCCTGGCAATTATTATAGCAGTTCTGGCAGCTTCTCTGTATTGCTTTAGTGCCATGTACAAGCGGAACAGGTACTTGGCATCCTTAATGAAATCATACAAAAGCAATCAATACCAACTGAATACATACTGCTGTCTTCCCTTTCTTTATTTGCCCATCCCACCACCACATTCTTCAAAGAAAGCGGACAAGCTGGCTTGTTTCGTGAAAAGCTCTTTGTATCACCATGCCTGAGCTACGCTACGTTCCCCTGAAAGTTCTGGCCATCAGTACAGTTGGATAAACACCCACGTTGAGCACCCTGACTGTCATGGCAGTCGGTTGCCAAGCCCTGTCCCTGTGGACACAGAAAGCCACAGACCATTAGGCACAGAGAGAGTTGTACAGGTGGAAACCCAACACCTTCAGGCGTGCAGGCATTTGTGGTGTCAGAAAAGAACCGAACAACTCCTTTTAGAAATCTAAATCTTGCTAGAAATGTTTAAATTGTGTTACAGATCTAGATGCAAATATTGCTTAGTGTGGATAAGGATGACAACATCTGGCCACTAAAGAGTGTATTGTTCTGCGATCAGATGGTAGACATCCAAGACAGCTAAAAAACGGAAAATTAAGGGGACAATCAGCTAAAGAAAATCCATAAAATTTATAATTTGCTATACTATGTACTTTTGATATTTTACACGATTCAAGAATGGCAATTGTAGCAAAGCGTTCACCCAAGAACTGGCAACCCAACAGGAGGAAAATTAGTGAAATAATTAAAAAAAAAACCCTTTAAAAAACCAAGATGGTGGTATTGAAGAAAACAAACAAATTCTAATTTTGCAAAGTGTACTCAAATTTTTAGCAGACTAGAAATCAACAAGAGAAAAAAGAATTGGTCTTTCGCAAGGATTTTCAGAAGTCTCAAAAGTGGTCATTCCTAAAAGTACAGCTAAAACACAAAACAAAATTACCTTGCTTATAATGAAAAGGAGTATTAAGCAAAAATAAAAAGCTGGGCTAGTGTCACTATTTTGCATCTTTAGCTGTGATTTCTAAAATGGAGTCAACAAAAAGTAAAGTCTGTACATGATAATCTTTTAACTAGTAAATCAAGATTAAATTAAGCTGAAATACTGTATATAATGGTATGGTGCCAACTTAAATATACAAATCAGAAAAAAAAAAAGACGACATTGGTATCTTTACAGACAGCTTAGCAAAAAACCCCAAACCAACCACTTCTGCAATATTAGTAGTAAACCCAAACACTTACAATGTGTATTCCACGTTAAAATGGTATAAATTTTTTTTTAAAAAGAACTGTATTAATCAATACTGTGCTGTTCTCCGGAATCTGTGTGGGTTTTGTATGTAAGTCTCAAACACATGACAAAACCCTCAGAAATTCAAAAGATTGGAAATATTAAAGATGTAAAGTCATTTCCTTACAAAGACAACAACTGCAAAGATTAACTCCATATTTGAGAGGCAAGGGAAAAAAAAAAAGAAAAATCACAGAAATAAAAGCAAGCAAGAAAGACTGGCATACAGAAAGAAAAAGGCAAGTCAAATTCCTCTTTTTAACTTGCAATATAAGAAAAAAGCGAATTAAGTGACCAAAAGTAATTATTTTTAAACTAACGATGGAGCAGAGTTTTAAGTAATACATGATCAAAAGGTCGAACATCGTGAGGACCATAATTTAACAATAATGAAGTAGTTATCTGGATAATAAAGTATCCACAACTACTTATATTAGTGGATATTATTTATCCACTGTCAACTGCCTTAAAAAGGAAAATTGCTATTCCCTGAGTGGGGTAAAACAAAAGTTGTTATGAATGGTAGGTTATGATGTAATTCTTCCCAACTTCTGACACCTCCTAATGACCGCAGATGGCCATTCTACCGGTGACAGCAGAAGGCTGCACTTCCACCCCACCCAGGCTGCTTCTCCCTTTTCTCCTGCCGCAGCAGCAGAAAGATCCTGTCCCAGCACAGATCAGTGATGTTATATGGTATCTGCCATGTCCCCAGTTACATTTTACTTAAGACTTACACGGCAGGCATATGTAGAAAAAATACAAAACTAGAAGGCATTTAAGAAAAATTAGTCTCATGTTTAACTTTCATATTCTTAAAGTCAGCCATTTTAAAAGCAAAAAATGCAGGAAGGAATTTTCAACTGACAACACATTTCCTAAGGTCTTTGGAAAAATTTATCATTGCAATCTAACTGATGTTAATACTAGATAGCCATGATTTTAATTTAGTTTTGCTTTTTAAAATGCATGTATTTAGAAAACGTGCACACAGAAAACAGCAGAACCTTGCTAGTTAACGGTCCCTAAAAATTACAAAAGAACACCTGACAAATTAAGAATCTCTACATGTTAACGTTAACAAATACAACAGTTGACCTAATAACACACTTAAGAAATAGTTTATAATTAGTCAGACAATAGTGTAGCAAAATTCTGGTAAGCATAATGATTCTGATAATATGGTACTTCAATAAAATGCCACATAATTGTTGGCTGTGAAGGATTTAAAGCAATCAGGCTGCTGTGAGCGATGATCTGATTTGAAGATCAGTGCTTGAAAGGATTAGCAAGTTTCTGCTGCATGGCTACTTTAAGTTCACTCTTAACTTTCAGCTTTACAAAAATACCACCACATGAAAGCTGCTATTCTCTAAAAACAACCCCATTTGCTTGATAATTTCAAAACCACTGTCTCCATAGCATAATAAGGATATGGAATAATTGGGTTTTAAGTAGATTTTTCAAACAAATATGTATGATTTGATAAAGTAAAATTTTGTTACTCACTGAGAGAGACTATGGCAGATTGGATTAAAGCAATCAGAAGAACAAGAGAGAGCTTTTAAACAAGGAAAAGAGCTCCACATTGAAGTGCAAAACAATGTTAAATATGGCAATTACAGCATTCACAAAATTCCTACATGTTTTCTGAAATCCTTAGAACCTCTTCACTATGGAGATCATACTGTAACTTACTTCCCTTATCCAGTCCTACACACTTCTTTCAACCAGACAGCTAGGCTGCTGTTCTTAGAAGATTGACTAGATGCTACAGTTGCTGTCCACCCAACTTTCAGCATAAATATGAAATTACTTCTGCTTGCACTGATGCTACACAGATTTTTCATCTAATGCCTCCAACAGCTTCTTTCTCTTCCTCGTCTCTTGCAGTTGAATGTCATTTGTTTCATTATATTTTGCTTCTCTCATAATTTTATTAATGTTCACATTTCAAATTACAGGTAAATAATAAGAGGTAAATAATAAAGACATACAGGGTTTTTTTTGTGTTTTGTTTTGTTGTTTTTTTGGGTTTTTTTTTAATTTTACAAAAGCCAAGTTGGCTTGGCCATCAACTGTCCAGCATCTCCAAAAGTTTAAAATATCAAACCCTTAATCTCTAGCTACCATAGAAAGAGGAAAGAGACAGAATTTCTAATCTCCCAACAGAATCATAAACCACAGCTGTAATATTAGGGGTGAAATAAACTCACTGCACCAAGACCATGTCATTCCCATCATTAGCAAACCTTACTCCCTTCACTAAGGCAGAACTTACTCTTCCATACATATCATTTTGCACCTGACTCTATCTATTGTGAGTCTGTAGGAGACCTTAAATTCCTTGACTAAGGAATTAATTGCAGACTCCAATGTCCGCACCTGAGGTCTGGCTTTCACAGCAGAAAAACATGGTGCAGGACCGCTTAGCTCACATTGAAGCTCTGCTGTAACAGGCAGTAAAACCTGAAGCGGCTCAGCCAATAACTCAAGCCCAAATATGACTGAATGTAGCATAAGCTCTATGGACATCAAAGCCAAATATGGACTGTGAAGCCTGTTTTTCTACAGCTTTAACTCAAGAGAAAGCAGTCAGTCCATCAGCAGTCACTCCGCAAAAGAGCTGTTTGTCATCTTGACCTCAAATGCTGCTGTTCTGACGGCTAACATCATATATATAGCAGATATTTTCAATCTGCCTTGGAAAAAAAAAATCATACCATGGAATATGGTCAGAATCTACTTCTTGTATTGTATATACAGCACAGACCTAATCTATGGTCTGCTTACTTTGTGAACGATCCTCCTCTTTTATTATCAAACCTACGGCATTGGCAACTAATACACAAAAATCTGTCAGCAAGTATCTTTCAAATCCCAAATCCATACATACAAGACAGAAAAAGATAAAATAGTCTACCAGTCTGCCAAAAGCCTTTTATTACACCCAGTGAATGGTTTGCTTTTAACAAAGGAGCAGGAAACCTGGAAGAAATGGTCATGGTTCTTTCTAAATTTTATTAATTGATCACACAACATTAAAAGAAGCCTCATAGCACAGAGTATCTCTTAATCTGACAAAGCACCTCCTACATAGTATAAAAGAAAAAGTAAGGTTCTAAGGAGTCAAAGAAGATTTTCTGTGACAATGATCAGAGAAAACAAAAATCAGTGTTCACAGTATTTTATTCTCCTACTGTTAATCAAACTTCCACCTTAGGAAGGTCTGTCACCAAGAATCTTCAAATGTGCCTCCTCATTTTTATAAATTTTAATCTCCAACACAGAATAGAAACTCTGTGGTTCAGTTTACAGAACTACAGCTTATACCCACAGATGAAACTTCCTCTATGAATAATCAATTCAAACAGCAATGTGACACAATAGCAGTGATACAAATACAATACCTTGGGCATGCCATCACTCTCTCCTATAAGATAGTCTATCAGCTGATTTGTTAGGGCTTCATCTTTTGCCCGTCCCACCTGTAAAATAAAGGCAGAAGCAATTATGACATGAAAGAGAAAGGAATAATACTTACTTATAAGGAGGCTTTCCATAAAAACACTGAAACTAGACAAATTTAAAATATGATTGTTTTTTCAGTTCTGTGTGGTCAAACCAGATGGTTACTTGGTTCATCAGCTTTGACATGCAGTAGTTCATATTTATTTTCTAATGTGTTATGTCAGGAGTAAATAGGTCTCTACCACCATGAACTGTTGTTCCTCTCTGCTTCAGTGTTGGATTCAGGCATCTGAATCTAGGGACCATGAGCTGTCACAAAGCTGTGTCTATCAACCCAGCATAATTTGTGTCTCAGAGGAATATTCAGTGCTGGTCACTAAAGCAGAGCCAGCACTACCTGCCCAGTTAAGAGACAGTCTCAAAAATATGGCTGACATGCTGAGATTCCACAAGGATACATACGGTACAACTGCAACAATAGCCTCTGGGCCATTTCATAGCCTTTGGCTTATTCATTTGGGCTGAAACATCTGGATCCAGAGGAAAGCATTAGACACCTCAAACTTCAGTCTTACAAGCCTGCCAACAGCTCTGTGAGATGGAAGGCCTCAGGAGTGGCTGCGCTAGCTCTAAGCAGAGTCAGATCTACTGTTTAAGAGTCTGAAAAAAACTCTAGTGATACCCAACAAGATTTTCAAAGCTGTGGATTCTTCAAGGGAACAGAGGCAGTCTGAGCATGGTTTGGATGACAGAAAGTTGCAGTGGGTGCTTAGATGGAAGCTGGCAATGGGCCTGCTTAGGCAGGTTTCCAGCATATATTGTCTAGAACTGAATCTCAAGAAACAGTAGGTTCACACATACTAAGGTGCAGCATGAACTGCAGATCTGATGACTACAGAATTTAGGAGATGATGAGCAAAACAGCTAAGCAAAGATTGCTTCATCCCACGTTTCTTCTTCTTTTAGGGACAGAAAAGAGATTTTTAGAGATAATAAGGATGAAAACCAGAAGGTGTTAGTAAGACTGACACTGCAACTGGCCTTCTGTCTGATAGTGGAAGCTGAGAGCAGTGGATACTGTCTGCCTTGACTTCAGAAAGGCTTTTGACACTGGTTCCTGTAACATCCTCATACAGAATGTGATGAAGCGTGGGCTGGATGAGCAGGCAGTGAGGCAGAATGAAAACTGGATGAATGGTCAAGCCCAGAGGGTTGTGATCAACAATACAAAGTCTAGCTGAAGGCCAGCAACTAGCAGTGTACGCCATGGGTCAATACTGGGTCTAATTTGATCTGGATGATGCGGCTGAGTGCACCTTTAGCAAGCTTGCTGATGATACAAAACTGGCTGGAGTGGCTGATACACCAGACGGCTGTGCTGCCATCACAAGGGTCCTTGACAGGCTGGAGAAATGAGCTGACAGGAACCTCATGAAGTTCAGCAAAGGGAAGTGCAAAATCCTGCATCTGGGCAGCAACAACCCCACGCGCCAGTACATGCTGGGGGCCACCCAGCTGGAAAGCAACTTCACTGAAAAGGACCTGGGGATTGCCAAGTTGAACACAAGCCAACAACCTGCCCTTGCAGCAAAGGGCTGCATTAGGAGTGTTGCCAGCAGGTCGAGGCAGGTGATCCTTCCCCTCTACGCAGCACTGGTGAGGCCACACCTGGAGTATTGTGCCCAGTTCTGGGCTCCTCAGTACAAGAGAGAGTCCAGCAAAGGGCCACTAAGATGACGAAGGCTGAGAGAGCTGGGACTGTTTAGCCTAGAGAAGACTCTGAGGGTACAAATACCTGAAGAGAAGGTGCAAAGAAGATGGAGCCGGCATCTTTTCAGGGTGTCCAGTGATAGGACAAGAGGCAACAACCAAAACACAAGAGGTTCCACCTAAACATAAGGAAACACTTTTTCACTGTGAGGACAACTGAGTACAGTTGCCCAGGAAGGCTGTGGAGTCTACACCCTTGGAGATATTCAAAAGCTGTCCGGACGCGGTTCTGGGCAACCGGCTCTACATGGCCCTCCTTAAGCATTCTGTGATTCTGTGACAGACACAGAGAATGGAGGTATATTGGTCTCTGCAACCATAGTGTGCAGACTGGAAAAAATCAGCAAAACTGAAAAATCATATACGGGTATTGCTAATAAAGAAAATTCCACACTCAGGTGTCTCTGACACACAACCACAAAAATGTGAATGAATTCATAAACCCTTCTTTGAAGATTGAAAACATATTTTCCTCTGGTATCAGTATTAACTTACTCTACTTTTCAAATGTTTATATATCACCTTTACTGATACAGTTTTCCTTCTATTTGCAAAGTGTCCCAACACACTCACTGACACTATGAAAATGTCACAATACTGAAAGTAAACTTCTTGAAAAGATGAAGAATTGTTTGTTTTATCAAAGTTGCTTACTGTTTCAATTGCCATTTCGATAGCCAAGTTATCTTCTGTGCTTGGACTTTTCATAAAGTGCTTTAATGCCTAAAATGATACAGAAGAAAAGTTAAAACTGAGACACATGAAATTTACATTTTCCTAATTTTTATCAAGTTATTTCTCTCTGCATTTTGACAGACAAGTGGCACATGGAATGCTTATCTTGACTGTATTTTACAGGCATAAGGATAACCACATATGCTTTAGAGGTAGCAGCTGCTTATACAGATACTCCTGCAAGAAAGAAGAGTTGAGTCCTTTCCAAATTCTGGTGTATACCTTCATCTAACTGTGAAAGATGTTCACAGCAATATGGTGAGAAAAAAATTAATGGTTAATGTGCCATTAGACCCCACCCTGTCCCACACCCCAGTTCAAGGAGCGGTCACCTACAATGGCTGTAATGTGCAAAAGTCAAACATTTAATAAGCATCAGTTCACTGATTTCTAACTGATCAAAAGGAAGTGTCTCAATCAACATACTTCAATTAACATATTTCCTTTTTTAAAAAAAGCTTTATGTTGGGGCATGCTACAGTATTAAATGAATTAAGCAGTCAGCAACCAAGTCTTCAATGGGCAAGCTAATCAAATACAAATAAATTCTACTTCTGTGTTTGTGACATTTAGAGATTCATGGAGAATAGCCTATCATTGATCCATGTGGAGCCTCCACTGCTGTGAAAAAGTTACGTGTGTGGCAGAGTACAATCACTAATGTAAGTAGATAATTGTACATATAAATAGTTTACTTACATTTTTAAAAAATATCAGTATGTCATCAGTTAAGGCAGCTAAAGTCTCCTATGAACCTCCCTGATTTTGAAGTACTGTATTTTGAACAGTTTCTATGAACACGTAACTAGCTCTCTTATCCTTTAAGTACTGACCCGTCCATATTGACCACACAGCAAGAAAAATTTTCCCGCCTGAAAATGTTTCTTTTCTCCTTCAAAATATAGTGCAATGCTCTGATAATCTTCATTGGTAGTACTTTCAGAACCTGCAACAGATAGATAGCAAAGATAGCAGAGTATTCTCATTAAGTAAGATAAAGGCCCTAGTGAAGGAAAAAATTTGTATTCTACTTTTTTTTTTTCTGCTGACATCACAAGAAAACCAAAGCTAGCTAGACTCAAATTATGTCTTATACATTTTTTTCCTATTTAGTCAGACTAAATATCAGACATTAGGAGCTAATAATGCAGTAAAATAATTGTTTCCATAGGTTTTACACCATAATGGGATTTCTCTTTTTTTAACAGACATAATAAAATGGCATAACTATGACCTGCTAATGTATTTTTCCATTATGTCTTAGCAATAATAAAACAGAGCAAGTGATTATGAGATTATCACCTAATTATTTTCACAGTTTAAGAATATGTGAGTATATCTGCATCGCATTGAGCAAGAATATCAGGACCAATATAACCATGTGGTAGCAGGGAATAACACTCAGTCTTCTAACCAAGACTCCATTTTACTCTACACATCTAAGACAAAGACAGCCACTACTCCAAAGTTAGTTTTAAACTCTTCTTCCACCCACTTAGATTAGAATTTGAGACACCCTGTTTTGGATAGGAGAGAAGGAAGAAAGCACAAGGAACAGTAGAACAATAGCGGCCACCTTGACGAGCAGCTGCACCAGTACATCACCAAGCTAGCAGCTGCCAAGTTTCTGTAACCTTCATAACAAAAACACATTTTTTAAAGGAAGAGATTAATTGAAAATATGAGATAATTTGGTAGATATACGTATGTGGAACTGTTTCCACAAAGAATGGTGCTTGACACAGGTGAAAATTTAAAATTTATAAATTTATTGCAAATCAATGAGCTGACCACTGACTGATTTATGGCCTCACGTAAAAGTCAGCTTTCTTGGTAAGGTCTTCTTTTTCTCTCTCACTGTGTCAAGGAGGCCACGAAGGGCCTTAAAGAGGGGGGAAAACAAAACAAAACAAAACAAAACAAAAAAACCAGCAACATATACATGTAAGAAAAGAGCCGAAACCATGAAACAATTAAAGAGAGGATAAAAATCACGAACTGTACCAGTACAATTCTCAGTTTTGGAAAAGCAGTACTACATATACCTAGGTCAAAGAAAGGGATTCCGCTGCAACGGATGCAAGAAAATAAAATGCTTTATCTCTATGGATACACAGCAAAAACTCTGGCATGGGCAAGATTTGAAAACAATCTATACTGAAGACCAAGGGAAATACCTAAGCTAAAAGCAAAGCCTAGCTTGTAGGCCTGAATTAGACACAGATTGCCAAATCTGTCCATGGTGACTGGAAACGGAAAAGGCTGGGCAACAAAATTTCACACCCCTTGTCTTACAATCTCAAATTGGTCTAAACCAATTAAAAGAATAGCAAAAGGTATTGCAAACAAACTATTAACCTGGAATACTCACTGATGATATCAGCATAAATCTCCATCTTGTTGTGTTGTTGAGCTAATGTGAAAGCTTCATTATTGCACTTGGACATGACCAGGAACTGGATGGCAGAACCATAGTCACCAAGCTGCAGAAAGAATCTAATCAGAATGAACAAATTAATACCTTAGTACTAATTAGCATAATGAATATTCAAAATATTTTGGGAATATAGTATATTTTGTGGCATGCAAATATGACACATTTCTAATTTATTTTATATCTCAATTATTTTAAATAGGTTACTAAACTTAGCATAAACAATACAGAACGGCAACTTTTATTATTGTCTAAATTTATTACTTCAGGTTAATACAATTTTAATCAGAAAGTTAGAAAAGAAGAAAAAAAAAAACAAAATCAAACAGTGCCTTCTTACCTGTCCAAATTCTAGAGATCTCAGATCAATAAACTGAAATATATAGTCACTGGCCAAATACCAATAACCAGGGTCTGATATGTTAGCAAGCCCCACCAACTTCCAGCAGGTACGGCCTCTTCAACCCTTTTTTTAATTTAACCTGTGTAATATGATTGTTACCTGGCCACCATCTTTGCTCCATCAAGAGACTGTGTTTCCCTCACAATATTAACAGCCTTTTCAGGATTATTAAGGTGCTCCAAATATAGTCGAATTACACTGTCCCACTGTTTGGCATGCTCATAAGCTATCACAGCTTCCTTGTACCTGCAAAATAATGGTTCCACAATAGTTTTTCTAACTTTTGAATAACCCTTTACCACACGGTGTGAAAGAAACACACAGTATTTTATTTCTGAGAGGTTACTCTGTCACACCTTCCTTTCAGTTTGAATATAACAGCCTTGTTCTGCATTCCCTATAGTTTTTTGTCTCAATTTAATTTTCTCTTTGGAGAATGAAAGGCAGAGACAACAGAAAAATGTCTACCACGATACTATTTTTGACCTACTCTGCCAGCATCCCTTTGGTATATCTTAAAAGCAGTTCATCTGTTCCATCAGCAAACATCATCTGTTCACTTGGGAGTGGGAGAACAATAACAAAACCCCAGATGATAACCAGTTGTACAATTTTAAAAGTGAGACTTCTTTTCGGTTCTGTAAACAAGATCAAGAAATTTCTCATTCTCACAGTATGCAACTGACACAAATAGTATCTTCTGTTCTCATCAGTGCAAACATTCAGCTTTGGTGCAGTTTCATATTATAAATTATCATTATTCTGAAGCACATCTACTTACAGGTAAGGACTAGTAGAAACTACATTCTGCGATTAAATATAACCTGTTTTGGGCTTTTATTTCAGCCAAAAATTTCACATTATTCAATATTTTGCAAGTGCAGCCGATAAGATGTAACAGTAATTTGTTTCTAGAATGAAAAATTTTCTTTCATGATTATTCCCCCTTTCAACGACCTTTAAAAGTCACAGCTAAGGAGTTGTTAGTAACAAACTGAACTTCAGTACTAAGTGGAATATTGCCTTGGGTGCAGTACTTTAAAACCTTTAATCATTTTTGTTAAAAAGATATTAATGCTTAGACATCAAAACAAACAATTAGAAATACATCTTTGATACTAGTGGAAAGTCTGTAGACTATGTTTTAAATCTTTACACAACACCTTAAGTTTATATACTTCAGAATTCATTTTCACATGACCGTTTCATGCAAAATTTAAAGTCTGTCTTTTAATTTATTTTACAAACAGATTAATATATAATAACAACAACAGTAACAACATGTTTTATTAAAAAAATAAGCATTAAAATGCACCTGCCATCTGCTTCTTTGGCCTTTGCATATTGTAAATGAATCTTTGGAGATGAAACATGAGGAAGAAGTTCACCAACCTTTGCCCTAGAAAGACAAGATAACTGTTATTTAATAAATAGATCTGTTTTGAAATTTTCTCCAGTAAAACAGGAGAAACACAGAAACATACCAACATGGAAAAGGAGGCTAAAAAGGAAGTAACTGAACAAAATGTATAAGCTTTGAAGGCACTTCAATTATTTTCAAAAAAGTTAAATTTTACAGATGCAAGAACTGGAAATTATAGACTGTTTCACAAAATTATAGGCTTAAAGAAAGACAGCATCTTTTCTTTTTTAAGTTCGAGATGTACAAGCAAAAGAAGTGCCAGACCAACAATTTTTGTGTCTAGTATTCTCTAATTAATCTACAGAAGTAGTACAGTACTAAAAAAACCCCCCACAACCTGAAAGAATGTCCAAAAGAGTACAAAAGACCACCAGTACAGGTGCAGTTGTGATTACTCAACTGTGTGCTTAAGGCCATCGGTTGTACAGAGGACTCCAGAACCAGCTGTTCTGAGTGACAACAGCGGTAAGAGCAGAGTGTGGAGGAACAGAGAACCATGTCAGTCCTTCCATAAATCTAGCTTCAGGAATTGCACACAATCTATAAAAGCCAGCAAACTAAGCAGTGGGCCTTTCAAGACAAAGGATGTGAGAGACTGAAGAGAGGCTGACCTTAAATCTCACCTCTCTGCCTAAAAGACAGAGCACTCCCCAGACTGAACCTCTTTCTGCTAAGAGTAAACAAAGCTCGTACTCCTACTTTCCAGATCAAAATTGTCATTATATGCAAGCTACCTTACTTAACAAAGTGTTCCCCTTGGTCCGTTCTGATGCTGTCGTGGTTTAACCCCAGCCAGCAACTAAACACCACGCAGCTGCTCTCTCACCCCTTCTCCCTCCCAGTGGGATGGGGAGGAGAATTGAAAAAAAGTAAAACTCAAAGGCTAAGAACAGTTTAATAACTAAAATAAAATATAATAACAACAATAATAATGAAATATAATAACAACAACAACATTAATAATAATAATGACAAGGAATATAACAAAAAGAGAGAGAAATAAAGCCCAAGAAAAGGACAAGTGATGCACAACGCCCTTGCTCACCACCTGCTGAGCAATGCCCAAGCAGCGATCCATGTCCCCCCCGCCCAGCCACCTCCCCCCAGTTATACACTGAGCGTGACGTCCTGTAGTACAGAACAGCCCTTTGGCCAGTTCGGGTCAGCTGTTCTGGCCACGCTCCCTCCCAGCTTCTTGTGCACCCGCTTGCTAGCGGAGCACGGGAAACTGGAAAATCCTTCACCTAGGATAAGCGCTACTTAGCAACAACTAAAACATCACTGCGTTACCAACGTTATTCTCACACTAAATCCAGAACACAGCACTGCACCAGCTACTAGGAAGAAAATTAACTCCATCCCAGCTGAAACCACACTGGCACTTCTATGATGGACTAAAATTTTCCTTAATAAATAAACATAATATTCCAACCTAATTTGGAGGAGGAGGGGTCTTTCTGATCTCTGCTCCAATCAGGTCTTAATATTAGAAGTCCACAAAATGTAACTGGGCAAGAATTAAGCCCTTAAAACTCTCAGTAAATTGTACTTTTCCACTGGAAACTTGACAATAATTAAATTCACTCATAAAAATTTTAAAAGGTATCGAACATAACGCCAGTGATTTTCACTACTCATGACACAGACTCCACTTGAACCAGCAACTTAGAATCATCTTCAACTATCTGAATATTCAGTCTCAACTATGTATTTTAAAAGTGAAAAAAATCTAATGAACTAAACAGTAACTACACGAATAAAATTACTAAATTCAGTGCACACAAACACACACATAAAGGACTCAAAACTGCAGGTAACTTTAAACATTACACAAAAAGGAATAAAAAGGAAGACTATCTCCCATTTAGAGTAAGACTATATTTAAACTAATATAAGCTTCTGAGAGAACACCGTTGTTTAAGTTTGGGGGAGGGAACAATAAAATCAATGAACCATAATTAATGAGACATTTGTACTTACCAGTTTTTACACCGGATGTATACTGATGCTGCCTTGTCATAATATTGTCCCTTTTCATACAGCTGAGCAGCTTCTGAAAATTGCTACAATATTGGAAATCATTAAAATACAATTTTTAAAATAAGATTACAAATAAATAAATAGCTTAATGAATTTACACATTCAGCCTTAGCTTTATCAACTCTTTCGAATACCTTCATACTTTCCAGAATAGCTCCACAGTCTCTTTTTAGTAACCTGCTGGGATGTTTAATGGCCTGGTTTACACCTCGACGGATATCTCCCATTCGAATGGACATTTGAGCCACTCCAGCAAGGCAAGCTTCATCATGTTCCTGGTACCGGCAATCAAATGAAAAGCAGTAACTATATGATATACATCAGAAATATCATGTCACAAAAGCTGCAGTAACCAAGCACCGAAACAAATTAACAAAACATTTAACATTTGTCTCAAAATTCTTGCCTAGCTGCAGCTGAAGTCACTTATTTAGAAGAACTGGGCTTAGTTTTCCCCTTAAGATTTGTCTTTAATTTTTACATTTTACTTACAAGATCTGTCCAGACCAAGTATACATGAGAAGACCATTTTACAAACAGCTCAGTACTACTCTCCTCTTTCCTTCAAAACCAACAGTAGAGAAAAAGAGAAATTACAAGCAGGATATTTCCTTTTTTCTTTTTTTTAAAGGTGGTGAGGCCACTGATGTTTTGTAAAGCCAAATGGCTTGAATTCAGAAAACATTGCTATTTCCCCTATTATGTTCCCCTATTATCATTTAAGCTGCTTCATAATAGATATTTTGCAAATATTAGGGGAAATAATGCAAAAATAAGGGAGGATCTACTGAATACGATGTTTATTTTCTAACACAATCCTTGCTTGTCTTTATAGAGACAATTCGGTAAAGAAGAACAGAAGGAATAATTAGGACTTTTGTTACAACAATGAAAACAGTCATATAGATTTAGAACTGAATAAAAAAAAATCCGAGCTCAAATGAGTCTGAAACATGACAACTTAATGTGTAGTATGATAGCACAAATGTTAAAAAGGAATTACCTTATTGTTTCCAGTGATACCCTTCTCATAATGTGCCAGAGCATTAACATAATCACCCCTACAAGAAAACTGGAAGTTATATGGAAGAATATTTTTAATAGGAAGAGATGGTTACCTTCCTACCACACAGTGTATCTGTATGCATGTATCTGTCTTGCTTTAGACCTAACAAGTCTGTACAAGGATGTGAAGTATGCAAAAGATGGACAGTTACACAGTATGCCATGGCACCTCCTGTGCACTTTATCAAGCCATCTTGAGCATTCAAAGGGGCTTGTCTATCTCTCAATTCTGTTATACTGAGACCAATACACCTCCCTGAAAATACAGGCAAAGAACCTATCTGCACAATACCCCTCAATAATCACAACTCTACTTCCACATTCTTCTGGAAGATAAATGAAACTAACCTTCTAAAATTATTTAGAATTTTTGCAACATAAAAACAAAGGCAATATCATGCAGAACTAAAGTTACAGGCGGTGGCATTTCTTCAACTGCCTCCATTCCTTCTTTTCTCTGACCAACAAGTGTTCTCTCTCAGTGCAAGGGGCACTGCCAGGGGGAAGGAGTTGTCTAAAAACTCTATTAATAGATAAGAGTTTTTCCTCTTGATTTAGACACTAGACAGACCAGGTTTCATCTGCGCAGAATTAGCTATAAAATAGACTTTAAAATCACGGCAAATGGTTAATACCTTCTCTCTTTCAGAGACTGGTAGCCTTGAAATTTGACACTCCTCTACCTAAAATATGTAAGAAAATGAAGGCTACTGGGTATTTAAGGAAAGACAGGCAAAAGGCAAGGCTTTCATCCAATGTAAGAAGTGCTACATGATGTGAACTTTCTTTATTTTCCAAGCACTTGCCTGCAGAAAGTATTTATTTAGTAGATGATACTATTATATAGGGGACCTACCAGCTGCAAAGAACTTGGATATACTGAAATTAATAAAAAACAACTATTATTTGCTAACATATGTGTCTAGCATGAAGTATTCCTTATGAAACTACTCTTCCTTGTACTATAGCTGTAAGACCTCACAGAATCCTCTCTCAGCAATGCACTCAGCTGAAGTATCTCAATTCTATGTTCTTCTAGTAAGCATGAGTATTGGTTTAATATTCTTATACTGCAACTTTACAGGAGAACTTACGTGAATTCAAGCTGCATCGCATATTCCTTTGATATGAAAGGGATTTGGTCTGGGGCCAAGCGCTTAGCCAGCTGAAGCGCACTGTCCCAGTGTTGCAAGTCTTTTCGCATCTATTAACAAAGAACAGTAACATCTTCTGATACAAGTATCAAATTCTGAATTCTATTACGAACTTTACATTATTCAAAATACCAATATACAGCTAACATTCTAGAAAGATTCAGAAAATTTGAGAGACACATTAATCCTAAAAGAATGTCTGTCAGTCACACCATGGCAAGAACAAAACCATAGAAGGGCAGAATTATCAGAAGGTAAAATATTCCAATATAATGGCAGAGATGAAAACAGCAGAAAAAAATTTACACATCTTAAATGAATACCTCAAGTGCAGCAATAGGACAGGAGGATGCAAGATATAAATCCTGAGCCAGATTAAAATCACTAGTAAACATGGCAAGATGTCCTGCTAAAAGGTTGTGGTCTTCTATTCCCTGTAAAAAGACATAATAGGTGCAAAAGCAGTCCAAAAGAAATAAAAAATTGTTATAAGTAACACAATCTAGTAAGCACCATAAAATACAATACCCTTACATTTCACAAACCAGAAAAAGCCCTCACTTTCTTATTGTAGCTCAAAATCACTATAGCTAACACTGCCTAAAATCAGCAATTTGCAGAATTATATTTTAAGGTACTATTTCATGCACATTTTTAGATGTGTAATTGCCATCTGTTTTGTTTTGGTTTTAAAATAATAATAGTGGCCTTAAAAATTTTCTCAAAAATAACAAAGGAAAAAAAAGCTTCCAAATACCCGAGACATGAATATATTCTGCTGCTCTCAAGCAAATACAGAAAGGAATGTTGTGCATTTCTGGCAGAGACTGCAACCACTTCAAGAGAAAACTAAGCAAGAGTTATGTGGTTTGGACACTTTCTCCTCTATAACTATTAACTCCCTTGAAAATAATTCACCTTCTATTTAAAAACAAACCACAAAACAAAATCTCCACAAAAATAAGAATTCAGCAATTCTTAAAGAACAAAATCACCGTATTTCCTATTTAAAAGGGACTTTACATTTTACCTTTATTTGCTCCAGTGACATCACCATCCCAGCATTACCCAATGTCCGATAAACACGTATTGCAAAATCCACCTCCATATGATGTAAGCAAGCTCTGGCCAGCTCATTCCAACCAGACTGGTCATTCAGAAGTCTGCACAACTCCCATGCTTCAGAAAACCTATAGAGGGTTGAAACTAGAATTACTCATACCTAAAATTCCCTCTTAACAGGTTTTTTTCCCTAATACTACAGTAGGGAAAACACAAAAAGGATTTACTTCTAAGCCATGCAGAGAAAGATGTGTCAAGAAGAAAGCAGAAATACAAATGCATAACTTACAGTTCTGCTTCTCCTGTTTCTATCACACTTTTTCAGGAAACCACCTTACTCTGGCATTCTTTCCATTATACTGATTTTGCACTGCTTCATTACAGTGGGAGGGGAGTATGCAAGAAGCACCTTCAGCCAGTTTTGGAAGAGCCACTGTCATAGAACCCCAAATCAATCTTCAAAAAAATTACTTTAGCTTTTACTTGACAGTGGAAAAACAAATAAAGCACCACTGGGTCACTCAATTTTGTTTGCCTGCATAGACAGCTACATGGACTCACGGATCAATCTAATTTATCAATACTCAGCATGACATTTTTAAATCACCAGGATATGCTGTATTGAGCTATTAGCACAGAAGAAAACAATTTACACAATATAATTGAAATGCAGATGTACCTTTTCAACATTAAAGTCTGAGTAAGCATTTGTGTCAGCTCATTAGGTCCAAAGTCTTTCAAATTGCCGAGGAAACTGTGAGTACTTAGATAGATATTATTTGTTTTCCCACTCTGAGTCTGACAAGTTAATTCTCCATTATACAACAACAAAGGTTTATGGGAAAAGGGGACTTCTGTGCCACCTGCCAAAATAATCTTTGATCCTAGATTCAAAGATCAGGAAGAAAAGAAGACATCTTTTAAAAAAAACCCACACAAAACCCTCCATGGTAAAAAGTGTAGCAAGCAGTCACAGCAGAAATAATGTAGATTTGCAGGGCATTAATTCAAGGTCTCTAATTCTGGTAGTCACCATCTACTGTACGTGCGTATTTTTCAGTAAAGTAAATATACATAACTGAAATCTTCTAAACTAGTAAGGTCATTTTCCAAATGTTTGTAGGTAAACTTCTTAATGTTTCTCTGTCACAAGTACAGAAATCCCTATGATTACAATTTTGGTTAACAGTGTATGTGAATATAAGTTTTGTGACTGTGACTCTAAGATTTTCTTACAAACATTTCAAAATACAGTTGAAGCACAATATGTAAATTTCAGACAAAAGCCATAAGCTTTTGATAGCAAGAAGCTTAGGGAGTTAGGACCAAAATGCCTTGTTGGAGTTTTACAGAGAAACCTACAAACCAACTTTAGTTTCTATTCATCAGTTGCACTTCAAAACTTTTGTACTACTATTTATTTTTATAGATAGTTATGAAAATATTTAAGACTAATGAAGACTCAGAACATGTTTTACTTTATTAACTAAAATAATGAATAAGTTTTTAAAAGCATGTACAGTACCTTGAATGGCATCTTTATGAAAAACGTAAGTGTACACTTTATCATCATCAAAAGCAACAAAAACACCTTTATCCATTGGCCAGTTTTCCCACAGGATTCCTTTAATAGTTGGTGAGAAGTTTGGAATCTCATATAATCTATCATTTACCTACAAATAATGCAAAAGTAAAATTACTAGTAAGTGAATAAGGAGACAAACTAAATATTCATCCCCATTACGATTAAAAATAAAAAAAGAATATAAATGGTGGAGAAACATGAAAACTGTATTAAGAAAAAGTTTTCTTATAAGTGACTGAATAACATAATAGTTTAATTCAGAAGGGAAGTAAATGAGGAAAATGCACATTATATCAACGTTATTTACTTTTCTTAGAAAAAAGGTATGGGGACAGGCAGTGAAACTGGCAGTGCTTGCTAACAGGCTAAAATATCTGTATTTGAAAATTATTGATCAGGAATTTAGTGTAACGAAATTGTCCTGATCTAATACGCCAGATTTTATGGCCTTACATTACTATTAAGTTATCTTCAAACCTCCTTGGCACTTTCTTCTACAGCATATACGCTGGAGTGACACAAGCTTCTCCGTTCTCTAATAAAAACCCTATATAGTTGAAGAGCCTGCTTAGATATATAATTGTATGGGTATCTCACACTAACTTACTGGACAATAGACAAAGCCATCACTTTTGTCATCTATGAAAGCCAATCTGGTTCCACTGGGATCTGGAAAAATTTTTCTCACACTGACAGGATGTCGATATTCATTCACATATTGCCAGTCTTCAATGTAGAAATAACGAATAATTCCAGTCTAAAGAGAAATAATAGAAAAAGCTAATAACGATATCAGTAAGTGCCAAGTAGATAATGAACTTGGTTGTAGTTTCTCCCATCGCAGATTTGCGGAGTGCTGAGCATGAAAAGTGTTTAAAGAAAAATAATTCCAGGTGTTCTTTTCCAGGCTTCCTTCTTCATCCACAACTGGTTTTGGATGGGATAGGAAAATTTCAGGCTTTTTGGGGGGATGGGGAAAGGAGTTGCAGGTCTGTTGTTTTTGTTGTTTATCTCACTCTGCTTTGGGGAGACAAGCTGTATTTATTGTGCAGTTCTTTAAACAGGGTAAATGCCTGCCTCGTTGATGAAAGAAGCTTAACCTTCAAGCAAAGCTGAAAAATTTGCCTCCAAGGAAGAACCACACATTCTTAAGAATGCATGTACCTAATTCAGGGGAGAAAAGCAATCGATCTGCTTTGTGATTCATGCTGTATCTCAGTGTCGCACAAAGAAGAACACTGAAAATAAAAGGCGTCTTTCAACGTAAATTGTAAAATTTGCACACATCAAATTGGTAAGTTGCAAATTTATAATTATCATCACAGAATCACAGAATGGTTTAGGTTAGGATGGACCTTAAAGACCATCTCGTTCCAACCCCCCTGCCATGGGCAGGGACACCTTCCACTAGACCAGGTTGCTCAAAGCCCCGTCCAGCCTGGCCTTGAACACTGCCAGGGAGGGGGCAGCCACAGCTTCTCTGGGCAACCTGTTCCAGTGCCTCACCACCCTCACAGCAAAGAATTTCTTCCCCATATCTAATCTAGATCTACCCTCTTTCACTTTGAAACCATTAGCCTATGTCCCATCACTACAGTCCCTGACAAAGAGTCCCTGCCCATGTTTCCTGTAGGCCCCCTTTAAGTACTGGAAGGCTGCTATGAGTACCAATTTAGGTACTGAGGAGGTGAGAAAGCCCTCAACTGCTGTAAAACCACTCAAGTGATTAAACCAGTGATAACACCAGAGACAGTGATTCTGTGTTTCCTCTGGAAGGTCAATACATCAGTCTGGTGTTACAAAGAGCACAATACTACTATGCCAAATGTGCTTTGTATTCCCAGTGCCAGAAAACACAAAAAGGAAAGAAACTAATCCTCATGCATAGCAAAATCCCTGGAAAAATCCATAAGCATGTTCGCATCCTTCTTCAGCGCCCTCCTAATTCCTATCTTTGTTGAAACATCTACAAAAAATTCTCTTTGAACAAAGGCTTCAATATAAGTCAAGACTTCCCTTTATGCTATCACAAAAGTTTACATCGGTACCTTTTTGTCCACATCTACCAAATTGCCACCTAAATCAACAAATTTGCAAGGCAAGAGCTATGTTTTTTCTTATATCTGGAAGACAGTTTGATTGCCAACCCTCTCACTAATGCAACAGAATAAAATTCTGCTATTAAAACCAGTGTTTTGCAACAAACGCTAGTAAAAGCAAAACTTAACCTTCCTGCCAATGAATCTCATATAAATGCAACAGTAAAGGAAGTTGGATGAAATTTTGACTGTATTCGCATAAAATTCTTGCACAAAAAATAATCCACAGTAAGCTTCTCAGAAGCCCAGTATTTTTGCTAAAAGTATGAGTAATAATCCAAATAACTCAGAAAGAATTACATTTCATTTAAAAAGATTTCTACAAACAGAAGTAATACTCACATCTGTACCATATATGAGAAAGTCACTAGTTAGAGCATGGCATAAAATTCGGTATTTATCACCATCTGCTGGGAAGAGTCGAGTTTCTCGTTCTTCCTGACCATCCAAACCTTCACTTTCTATCTAAATTTAAAGAACAGAATCATCTGAAAAACTCCACTCTTAACAATGAGGTATCACAGCTTTGCCTGTATCAAACTGGAAGGAAATGAGATGAAAACAAACTTGCATGTGCATGCCTTAAAAGCCCAGCATCTGCTTCTGTCACATTCCCACAGAGACTTTTAAGATAAAACTTGTTAAATAGTTCACAAGAAAATACTTTTTCTTCACCTGTTCTAGACTAGGTTGTATTTCTGAAGTCTACAGGAACTCAGCTTTATATTAATTAGCCAGCAAAAAAATTCTAAAGAATCTTAAATTTTTATCTTCATTAACTCAAGATCACTCCACTGTCTCTCATTTTTAAAATTACATTAACTTGTCCAGCTTAGATCAACTCATTAGCTCAGTAAGCTAAATTGCCAGAGCTCTTACCATATGCAACTGGACTTTACCCTCAAACAGAGCAGCGGCATAATCAGAATTAAGGTGCATACTTGCTACTGTCCCCAGGTACTCCACATCTTTAAGCTTTTTCACATCTAAAGAATTCAAACAGAAAAGAAAAGGTAAAAATATTTTGATTTTGTATAGGTCTTCACTTATCACCATTTAAATTTGCAGCTGAGTAACCAGATGTGAAAAACTCACAACTAAGCAGAGAGGCAACAAGTCACATGTAAAGAGGCTTTCTTCTGAGCAGAGAACTGGTTAGAAAGTACAAGAGAAACTCTTTTCCTGTGCAACTCTGAATAGCATTCTTACAGTTTTGATTAATTTATTATTAATCAGAAAAGGTGATGCTTAGAGAGACATGAAAACTTTAAATCCACTGTCTAAAATTTGGACATAGCATAAACAATTTTACCTTTTGCCACACAAAAAACACGAACATCTACCAAACTGAGAATTTAAACCCTCTGACCATATAGTCCCTAGGTACTTTGCCAAACTTAGTATTTAAAGACACAGTCAAATAACATCTCAAAACCTAAAAGCCCTTCACTGGTAACAATATGACCTGAAAAAAAAAAACAACCCACCCACCAAAAAATAAACACTCTATATTTCATTACCAATCCCTTGAACCTGAAGTTTTATTTCTATTACTTACAAAGTCTTGTCATAACTGCTTCAGTTTGTGAAGATAGTTATCTGGTCCTAACAGAACCATAAGGCAATTCAAGGTGTAATTGTACAATGTGGAACATCCAGAATTGCTAAACACAATACTGAATTCATAAAATAAGACACAACGATGCAGCAGTTTTACGATAACTAAATTTATGCTTACTATTCTCTCCAAGTGCATAAAACCAAGCCCGATTGTTCATTCCTACAGCCAAATGATAAACACCAATAGCAACAAAACTGGGCTCCACTTCAACAGAGACTGTGACTGGCAGCTCCTGTAAGGAAACAAAACAATTTTCATCCACTATTAATATGTACTTTACTTATATCTAAATGAAGTTAAAAGGAAGAGGTTATCATACTCTCTCCACGTGATTTGCTATAGTAACTTCTAGAAGAGAAGTGAGGTATGCAATCCGTGTACTGCAAGCATCTCCAAGGATAGGAAGCTTTGTCAAGAAAACATGGAGGGATCCTCTTCGTGTAGATACTGCCAACAACTGTCCGTCATCTGTCCAAGCCAGCTGATCTACACCTAAAACATCCACAAGTTTTTTCAAAAAAAAAAATTTCTTTCTTTAACTATTGAAACTAAGAAACAATTATATTAATTTAAAATGTGAAAATGGTAGGAATCCATACCTAGGAATACACATACTAATGTACTCAAACATAACAAATTAACATAATTCCAAGATTAACTGGAATCACTCAAACCAAACCCATAGTTTACTAATTTAGTACTTTCCTAAGAGTGAAGACTTGACAATAACTGAAGTATTTACAGACTGTACAAGAGGAGATAATGGTGGTAACTCAAAACCCAAGAACAGTCTTGTAATAATATTCTGAAAGCCACAGGCACAAATCCTGTATATGAGGATGAGAACAGATTAATTATCATATATCAGTACAAGAGATGCTGAAAAGCACAGAAAAACTCACAAAAAAAAACCATGGAAAGAAGCAGAAACCAGTTAAGTAAATTGTTTCAGTAATCTGAGTATACTGTGTTACAGATTCAAAAAATCAACACACTAAGTGTTGAAATATTCTGAGAGCTATACTTCTCTATACTTTGAACAGATAAAATAAAATATGTTCCCATTTTGCTATGGGTCACCTAATAAATACAAGTTGGGAAAGAAGGACTTTACAGTAAATTCTATATTTACAGAGTTCTTCCAACAACAGTACTCATGTAAAGAGAGTCACCATCAAAATACTGTTTTACTTAATTTGTAAAAATGTCTATCCTCATGGAGACGTTAACGTACCTTTGTTTTCATCATCCAAATTTATTATGGCATACATTTCTCTCAGGTCTGACAGATCATGGATTTTAATGCTAAAACAAAAATAAACAGTCATCTATAGAGACAACTCACTAATATAAATCCCAGTCATCACAAACTGGAAGACAGCCAACCCAATCAAGACAGACTAATGGAGTAAAAAAATAGAGCACAAATGCAAATTGCCTTCCGTTTCCTGAAGGGCAACACACCCCCATTGTTATCCATCACTCTAAACAGTGCATCACTGTCACTGTATGAAAATATTTGCTCAGAGAACTAAAATATGATGAAAAGGCACAAATCCAATTTGAAAGAACTCACAGGTGGGAAGCACACTATTACTCCCTTTTGACCTGTTACAATATGAGTTAGATTAAAAACACATTCCTGATGGACAAACACTGCTTGAAACACAAAACTAAGCTTTCAATCCTGCTTCACATAAAAAAGGACAGAGTGAGAGTTTACTTATGCTGTCACATTACTCGATACATGCTAACAAACCCCTTAAAGAAATAATATTTATGGACCAATAGCGGAAGTGCTTCACATTGCACCATGTTTTGCTCATAGTTATACCACTCTTGATGTGCAAGTGTCATAAATCAGCAGTCAGTTAAGGTCACACACAGAACTGAGGACAAACAGAACGCTCTGACTCCTACCATCACTCAGCTCCTTTTTCGCTGAAGAATTCAGGTATCACAGAATCAGGGAGTAGCAGATGAGGAGCTAAAGGAAATATGCTATCATATGCACAACATATTTTGGAAAAACTCCAGTCTCTTTAACTATTTTTTTCCTTAATTGCTTACACATTTATACTTTTGTCTAGATTGCAGATAAGACCAAACACCAGGGAGGAGGAGATGAGCATGCTCAGTACAGCTTTAATTGAACTGTTCTCCTATTCCTAAGTAGACATTTATGTCCAATCAATAAATCATAGTAAAGAAATCTGGATGTTTTTGTAGCCAAGTAACATAGTAGAAAGGAATAATCTATACTAAAGTTTAATTATTTTTGTTTACAATTAATTACAACAAAGTTAATTACAATTGCAGTGATTTTGCTCAAAATTAGCTTCTCCTAACTTTAGGCACAGAGGCAGTTCCACAGAGCAATTCATCTCATCTTCTCTGCACTGATTTCTCAGGGAGCCTTGAAGCCTCAGGCAGCCTAGCTTTAATGCCCAACAGCTACAGTTCTGTGAGATGAATTCCATTGCTTACGTATCAAACTACCACTTACCAATTGTCTCCACATGATGCAGCTTTGTTTAGTGACTGTGATATAGCAATGCTGCTTAAGTTATCCTTATGATTATGAGCTTGAAAGATTTCTTGACCTATCTCACGAATGTGTGTAGAAATGACTACAAAACACCCTCGTGAGAAACCAATCATAATGTAGCCATCACCATACCTGTTATAAAAAAAAAATTAAGAAGAGAGATCTATTTATGCAACATGCAAAATGCATTTTCTTTCAGACTACCAGGGTACTGTCAATGCCTCTGTTTCATAGGAAAAATAATCAAATTATGGGAATTTATATATATAATGTAGAACAATATAGTATAAAACAGATTAAAGGAAAACCAACCAAAGATTCTTAAAGGACAAAACCATACTTGTGCCCCGAGTTCACTCATAAATCGACTTTATTCTCTTTTCTACATTCTATAATGTCACTTTACTTTCAACAAGCTGCATGCATGGCAAGATGCCACAAGCAGGACCTCTGGTATTGTCATTGGAATAAGCATGCCAGAAGATGGAAACTTCCATTGCAAGGTTCTGGCTGACTTGGTCCCATCAAAGCTATGCTAAAAATAATGCCAGTCACTGTGTCCTTAAGGCATACTACTGCAAACACAGTGGAAGTACCAAAGCTACGAACTGTATTTGTGAACAGATATTCTGTTTACTTCACATAGTGTCAAATAGAAATAATGAGGTCAAGGCACAAATAGTTACTGTGTGTAAGGATGAATTCAAACAATGTCTCATCAGCTTAGCTGCAAAACAATCACTACAAGAGCAACAGCCCAGGTGTGCCTTGTTAGACAGGTGGCCACAAATTAAGAAGCATACAGCTACAGGTTTTCTTACACAGCTGTAGTGTAAAGGGATAAATGTCAATTCCACGTTGACTGAACAGTCATTAATATGATTGTCTATACATATAAAAGACTGAATATGTCTTTTAATAGACAAGGTGTCATGATTCAAAGATATAGAAACAGTACAACTACTTTTTGGGTACAGAGTTGAAACTTCTAGCTTGAGATTTCTTTGAAGGAACATTACGAATTGCATTCCATAGCAGGGAGGCTACAAGAACTTTGTACAACTTTGTAAACCAACAAACTAGCTGAAAGATACAACTCCACCCCAGCTCTTTTGTCAGTTACTCATCCAAACAGAAAACAACGTCTAAAACCCTGTTTAATCTACTGTCAGGACAGCAACAGTATTAGTGTTCTAAAGTTGAGCATACAACAGCGATTATATTTGAAAATACTGCTTTTATAGACATTGAATTCTCAAGGAAATGAATTACAAAATGTAGACTCCTTTGTGTTTGGAAAAGAATTATTAAAAAGGCTACAATATATCCAAGAAAAATCCAGTGTAAGCAAGGGATATATTATTTCATTCCCAGCAATTATCAGAACTACTGGGAAAACCTTCGACCTGTTAATACTAGAATGCTTCATAGAGAAAGTTCTGCTCACCATCTGTAGGTCACAATACTGCCATAAGGCTGCTGAAATTTCAGATCAATCGGGTTATCAGGATCATTCAAATTAAAAAGAAAGAGAGTCTTCTTGCCGACCACTACACTTACCTGCCAATGAATGAAAAGAAAAATTAACTTGAATGGCATCACTTTAAAATAAGGCCCTACATCTTCACTAAAGGATGAGATTTAGGACTTTCAACACTCCTGCTCTGTTCACAGATAACCACTGCACTTTTTTTTCATGAACACACCCTTAATGTACAAAGGGGTATGGCTTTACTTCAAAGGAGAGTTTTTGAAAATTTAAAAAAAAAAATCTCCAACACCAAATTTTAAGTCAAGGAGGAAAAAATTGCTTCATGGCCCATACTGGTTTCCAGTAGAAACCCTGAAACACCAGATTAACACTTTTTGCAGTATTTTGTATTGACTTCTTACTGTGCTTTCCCTGGTTGATATTCTTTCGTCAGTCTTCATAACTGAGAACTGCATATCACTGGGATCTGAGCTCACTGAGGTCTGCAAGAAACAAGTTCAGATTGAGAAATCAACAGTTAATGTAGCAAATGCTGATGATAGATAACTGCATTATTCCTGCCCTGTACATTTTAGTGTTGAGGACATACAGCGTTGTTATTGCATTTAGTATCAAAACTAAGAAAAAAGTTGGAGAAAACATGACCTCGACTTGGATCATGATGACACGTTATCACAGAACATACTGAAAAGATATCTAGGAAACAGTTAGAAGTGCAAATTCAAAGACAGAAGGAAAGATCCAGATGAGGAAGACGACTTGCAAGATTATGTTGTTCAGACTGTTCTAACTGAAGCAGTACAAACAAGGTCACCCCAAGGCAAATTAAAAGAAGGAAGACCAGGAATAAGGCATACAGGTTAAATACTTACAATATATTTTAATATGGACATACCTGATCTGGTTTAGGTAGTGATAGCTATCTAGTTGGTTTTGTATTCAATATGAAGATACAAAACCTCGTAAGCAAGCCTTGCTTAAGTCTCTGCTGTTTCAGCTACACTGCTTCTACTGCCTAAGCCAGCTAGTTTAAAGCACAAACATACCCTAACACATTTACTAGGGTATTCTCCAATTGTGATCTTCAGACATAAAGATGGAAGCATATAAAATGAACTACGGAAGATTTGTTCTTCAAAAATCTTGAGTGAAACACTGTTCATTACAATTAAAAAAGTGTATCATATTCATTTGCACATTATGCAGCAACTGTCATTGCTCGGAAGGACTGTGATGTATGTAAAAAAACAGAATGCTTCATTATAGAATCTGGGTGTAGCTGGAGGAAGTACTGGAATCAGTCTCTCAACAGTGCAACGGACATCCAGCCTAGGAGTAATGCTTGCACATCAGAGGCAAGATCTTTGTTTAACCAACCTAAAGTAAAACCAACATTAAAAGCACTTCCTAAATACTTATAAACAGTCATGTGAGAGCTGTCCTGTGTTGCTACTGGGGAAGTCAACCTAAGACTGCACTCATAGGATCCTGTTGTAACAGATACAGATCAGGATCAAGGATGAGAGAAGTATGTTTAGGTAGGACCACAGCAGAATTGCAGAGACCCTAAAATCATAAACCATGTCGCGTAACACAGAGGCGCAGATGTTTAGATATGCCCTCATCCAACATGAGGCTTCCCAAAGGCTCCTTGTCCTTGAAAGCAGCAGGACTGAAAAGGCATAAGCTCCCATAGGTCCCAGCTTTCTAGGGAACCAGGAGTATTAATGTATGCCTTAAAATCGAATGGGGGTTATAAATACTACCTGTCTTATAGTATCTCCTTCCTGATTGCTTATAGTAATCATTTTGTCTTCACCGCCTAGAGCCAGAAGGTTTTCAGCACTCCAACAACCACAAGTAATCCGCTTAGTGTGCTTACCTGAAAAAGAAAGAAACCTATACAACACAAATGAACACAAACACACAAAAATATTTGGGATGGAAATATGCTCTATTTGCCCACTCAAACACAGATTGCCAGAACGTGAAACACCTTATCAGTGCAATTACAAATTCAAGAGTTTCTGGGGTTTTTTTAAATCTTCTGCTCCCAGATGGAAGTCTTTTGACCTTATAGGAACTTGCACAGCCTCTGTTCTTCCATTTCTTTGCATCAAATTTCTGGGGACTGTGCTATATCCTTAACCTTTCTGCCCAGTGGTACTCTAAGCAGGTAAGAAAAAATAACTTAGCAACAAGAACAATCACACAAACCCTTTGCAAAGAAGATAACAAAAGTTTCTCATGAGGCAGTACCAGGTATGTGTATATATATTTTTAACAATATACTATAAAAATACTCTGGTAAGTACAACAAAACAGAAGGTGCAAGTTGAGCATGAGCACATTTTTGACTTGCATGTTCACATACAGAACTAAAAAAGAATCCAAGTATATCAGCAAAACTCCACTTTCACATGTGCAAGCTTAGTTTCAAACCAATGCATACCAAGAACAGGAATCTTGCGAGAAGTCTGACGGTTATATATAAGTAAGTTTCCCTTTGCTGTTCCAACAGCAAGTAAAGTTCCAACTCGAGACCATAATAAGAAAGACATTGCATCCCTAAAATAAAGAAAATTTTTACTTTGTATAGTACAGATTCCCTTCACGTGCTAACATATAAAAACATTTTGTGTATTTGTTTTGAAGTTCTATGAAATCACACAGACCAAACAGAATTTTTAAATTAAGCAGATGTTCTCTACAACAAGTATCAGAATTACTTAAGTGTGCACGAAATAGTGAAAGTAATAAAACGCTGTCTGAGGTAATGCAGTAAGACTTGTACAAATGGAAATGTTTCTGCAAACATCAACAGTCTTTGATGGCATCATGGGTAACATGGTCAAATACTCTGCTTTAAAACACACTCAAAGATACCATAAAGGTATATGAAATTTTCCAGTCACCTTCTGCATTGGTTTTTTGTACTTCAATAATCCTATGAATTCAGCCAACTCCAAGTGAATAGCTCTAGTTCTAGTCAATGTAATAAGAAAGTTAGAAAGAGCCATTTTAACTTGATGTTTCAGATACAGCAAGGCCTATTTTGGTGTATATTTACAGGTACACAGATAAATACTATACATCACATTAAAAAAAAAAGCTTCTTAAGCAAACCAATTTTAATCAGAACTTTCTAATTAGTGCAGCCTCTCCCATCTTTTTAAATTTTATTGTTAAGTGTGCAATAGCAATTTGAAAGCAATTTTAGATATTAATTGAAACATGGAATGACCTCTAATATACATTTGGTTTGCACACCAGGGGTTTTGTTTGTGCTTTTCTAATTTTAAAAAGAGGAGGATACCAGAAAAGCCTGATTATCACACCATTTATATGCCTTAGTGATTATTCTGCTTAAGCAATAACACTGTGACAAAAGGAGGACTAGGCACTTAAATTGATATATACTGTTCTAGCAAGACTGCCTCCAGTAAGCAATTTACCTCAGATATTAGAAAGAAAGATCATGAAGTAACTGCAATAACTGCATTCTCCATTCTGATAAGTACCTTCTATGCTCTTTTTTGCTTGCATACTCAGAAGTTACTCTTCACCCCAAAATATTTGTTCGCACATGAAAAGGAGGTACAATATGGTCTATTCCTTCACACAATATAACATGTATATGCATCTTCATAAATTGCTTTCATTACATAAATAGCTACAGTTTAAAACTGACCTATCAAAAAAACCCCAAACCCCTACTTGAGAAAACTTTACAAAAAAAAAATTAAATGACAAAGTTGATGTATTCCACCAGAAAAGAAGATTATAAACAATAGTCATTATAACATCTGTGCTAAAAAGCCATATTGTTGATAACATGTAATAACTAATAAAGAATGACAAAAATGTAATGATTAAGAATTAACTGAGTAATCCACAAATATCTGAACAAGATGCCTATACAATGCTACATATAACTAATTAGACAGTAGTAAGAAGTAATTGCTTTACATTTCTCATTTGTATGTACAGTCATTTGCTTGTTTTGAAAGTTTTCTAACTTGTGACTTAACATTCTATTGACAAACAATCTTCAAAACATAACTTCATTAAAACTTGTATAGGTTAAGTCACTGTGTATTTCGTGCAAAGTAGCAACCCTTTTACTTTTTCAGGAGTGGAATAACTCGTATAGAAGTTATTTTTCATTTCAGTACAGTTTAAGTACAAAGTACACATAAAGGACACCAGGCCATAACATACAGAAATATCCCATAATCAAATATCCAATATTCCAAATTAATTTTACAAAACACAAGTGTACACATTACTGGAAATACGGAGTATTTCCATATGCCACACATGGAGTTTTCAACCTAAATCTGGAAAAAACACCACCCTCATAGAAACAAACATAACCCCTACCCCTCAATTTTTCCAGCTGAACTTTTTTGATTTAATGGATAAAACACTCCAATTCTGGTATCTTTGACTACTTAAAAAACCAACCAAACAAAAAACCACACACACACAAAAACCCCAAAAAACATACACAAAGGAAATTTAGAAATGAAGGGTTAAGTAAGAAGGAGTGTTTGTCTCAATTCAAGTAAATAAAATCGCAGCAGTATCCAAAATTAGCTGTTTCTCTGTTCAAGTGAGTGCCCCAACAAACATGGGACAGATTCATTTCCACGCTCTTTCCCACAAACAGAATGTTTATGTAGAGTGAGTGCCATAGTCCAGTGGAATAGATTCAAAGAAGCTAAAAGTTTAATTGTCAAACCAAGGTTATTTGTTAACCCAATGCTTGATTGTTATGTAGGCCTCAGGAGAGTTTTCAGTCCGTGACCCAACGCAAAAGGCAGAGATTTGAGCCTTAGCACACGATCACCTTAGAAATCTCCCATCCTAAACCAGTCTGCTTTGTGAACAGCATTTTAGTTGCCGTATAAACCTAAGTGGAAAAAATCCTAGCACCACTAAAATCACTTCCCTTATTTTCAAGCTCTGTTTCACTTGCGTGAAATACTTTGGAGAAAGAGTAGCCAGCGCAGATACACAAAAAATTCGCCCATCCTGGTAGCTACCATGAAGTAGAAACATTGAAGAGAAGCTCTTTGGGGACTTTAGCACTGACAATTAAAAAAGAAACAAAACCCCTACCAACTCCAAAACCCTCACCCACAACACACACTTCAAAACCAGCAAATCATACCAAAAAGAACTTAGCAACAAACTGTAGCATATTAATTTAACAGTATATGTGCTATGAGGACTCCAATAAAAAGATGATCTTTACAATATATCCTCCACATCAACAAGCCACAGTGGTACAAGTCTTCAAATACACACTTAAAAACCCCCACTTTCTTACCTCATGCCACTGTCTACTTGGCTTGTTTTGTTTGTGTTCGCAGCCCACAGAAATATGGCACTAGATTTGTCTGTGATTATTGCTAAAGTATCTCCATCCTTATCCCAGTCCATAGCCACACAGTTACTGAAACAAACAAACAAACAACAAAACCTTTCACTAATAACGTTAAAATGTAAGTAAACAGCCAGAATTATTCAGTTGAAGTCCCTGTCCCTCCTTCTCCCTCTCAAGCAAACCCATGACAGATTGCAGATTTAGCTGTAAAGTGTACTTTTATAGCAACCACACCCTTACACAAATCTCATGGAAATGACAGAAGCTGAAAGGAAGGTCATAAAAAGGGACTGCTACCTACATTCTAGTAATTGAAATACTGCCACCTTGATTTTCAAGAGATGGTGAAAATCCCCTGTAAGTTTCTATTTTGTTGGAAGCTATTCAGTGTTGAGATTGTTTTTCTCATAGTTCAACAAGCACAACAAACTTGGACAAGAAACCTGAAGGAGGAAAAACCTCTACTTGCAAATAGTTCCCAGAATGCAAAGGAGAGCAGACTTACCCACATGTCTCTAGTGAACTGGAAGCAGTGCTGTTTACAACACATATTTAAAGCACCACATACTGCAGGCTAAGAAACATACGCCATCTGACACCACTCTTTTCTTTCTAGATAAGTTGATAATTTCAAATTTAAAAAGTATCTTTATGAAAAATCTCACTCTCATTGCCACTCAAATGAAAACTCCTAGGGTAAGCAATTTCAAAAGTGTCCTACTGAAACATACATTGCTGTGAACTAATTCAGTGAGCCTTCAGTTCCAGTTTCTCCTATCTCTCTTTACAAAAGCTCAGAAGTTTATTCTAGAGACTAAGTATGGTTTCCAGAACACACCCATGAATACTTAACAACGAATTTTTGGAATAACAAGGACAAAAACTAAAAAATGTGGAAACATGTAGAATGATAAGTAGTAAACAAAACAAACTATATCAAGAGAATAGTATGAAGATGCTTATAACATCAACTATTACAGCAGAGAATATCTGAGAGTCTGAACTCCATTCCTATGCAGGGAGAGGTCTGGCAAGTTAACAATTGCAGTTGGTTAACAGTTAACAAACAAATAAAGCAGCAGTTTGGCCTGAGTGGGAGAACCTCCATATAAGCAGATTTGTTTCTGTTTAAACTGTCTACCACAAAATTGAATTTTACTCTAATAGTAATAATTAGAGAGAATTTACTCTTCAATCACAGCAAAAGGATGGAAATAAGAATTCAAAATAACTACCTAACCTAGGTAGAAGATTTGCTGGCAGGCGTCAAAAAGTCAGTAGAATTCAAACTACCACAAGCAGATATTAATTATTTTGACAAACCTTTAGGATCTGTGGTTATTATACAAGTTTTTTCCCCTCTTTGCCTTGCCAGGAGAACCCAACACTATTTGAAAACTGGTTTAGATGCTACATGTTTCCCTGAAGTAAAGAGTCACAACCATTCATCAACAAGGTAGCACTATCAGCGTCCATCAGTAAGGTAGACCTCCCTTCACCCTAGCCTCACCAACCCACACGACAGCACAGGATCCCTGGTCCAACAGAAGCGCTCCTCTGTTCACCAGTGATTCCACACAGCGTTTCTCACCTTTGGCAGTTTGCTGGAGAGGATGAGCATTTCTCATACATTGTGCAAAATACAGCGCAGAATGAGCTGGGCCATGGGTACTACCAAAGACACTGGCAAGCCAGCCCACATTATGAACGGCACCGAACCAGAACAGGATTGTGAAACAAGTCAGCAAGATGCGACAGTCAGTAAGATACAAGTGAGTCTTGTAAAGACAATAAGAATTGCATCTCTTGGTTTGGTGCAAGGTGGCAACCACCATGAATTGCAAAAACTGGATTTCTAGAGAGTTCTTGGGGAATTAAGTGATTCTGGCTCATATCTGCCAGTGATACAGGTATATGAATATGTAAGAGATATTCTGCAAATGAATGTTAGACTTCTAGATTAGAGGCTTCAGATTTAAAGCCCTAGTGGGAGTTTTGCCTTAGCTAAGGGCTCCACCTTAATCCAAACAAATCAGGTTGTTAGAAATAAAATACGAAAATCAGGAATTTCCATGAATACTTAAGCTAAGAGCAGGTAAAATACTAGAAAGAAGCAAGGAGTACACAAATGAAACTACTGCTACATCAGGTAGTAACGGTGCCAAGTAAAAGTAGATTTATAGACCAAATGATATGATGACCTGATACAGTGTTTGCACCTACGGAGGTTTCCTCTGGGCCATATCTAGCCTGTTCCTATGCACTGATCGCCTTTTAGCAGTTAGACTGCATCTTCCAAAGTACACCACCTTCCAAATTTCATCTGAAAGGAACCCAGTTCATACACTCCAACACCACACTCTGATGCGAACCAGAGTGTAAGCACCAGGAAACACAGCGCGATTCACTTCAGAAGTACACTCTGGAACTAAAGTGAAAACGCCGATGTGTACGTTACGCCAGTGACATAAGCAAAAGCTCCAAACCAAAAGGGTAGCTTTCCTCAGTAAGGATACAATAACAAATTACTACAAAACTCACAGCAGCAAGAACAGAGTCACAATCAGCGTCACATGGATTTATTGTCTACAACCTCACTGTGCTCCCTTCTTAATATGATAGAACTTTTTCTAACATTTTAATGAAGCAGATTGAGTTTACTAATATTAAGGAATGCTTTGGGTGGGAGAAAGTATTTTTATTACTATCCTTGATAGCTCACTATGAGTTCAGCTTTTACTGATTCCAGATTCCACACATGCTCATCAGTTTGCCTTCTTTTCTAGGCATGTTCACCTGAAACAGTATCTTTTCCTACAAAGTTCTCACATTGTATAAGCACCTCACCAGAAGAGCGGCATTTTTAAAGAAAACAACAACAAAAAAATTTAAACTCATCTTAGTACCTACCCTGGTAAGCTGATTTCATTTCTTTTCTGACCATGACGATCAAAAATCTTCACAACACGATCACCTCTGAAAAAAATTAATATATAGAATAATTCCCTTTCTTCGTCAGGGATTTCTACGGACAAATGCAATAAATATTTGTAATCTTACCCTGTTACAGCAAGGAAATTTCCCAAAGTTTTCTGCCAAGCAAACTGCACAGGGGAACCAGACCAAGATTTTTCTAATAGACTGAATACTTGCTGGGAGACAAAAAAAAAAGTGGGAAATTATGTATCTTAAAATCATAAGCACATAACAATAAACAACTTCCTAACATGTTCACAACTGTGGGTACTGTGGAGGAAAAAAAAACCCCAGCACTCAAAACACAACTTCTGGGTGATTCTCACGCACCAAAATTCCACAGAAAAATCTTTTAGTTTGTGCTGGAAAAACTGAAGTTTCCGGTGCTGGATGTCTGCATGGAGAACTACTGTGACTCTATCACAACTATTTTTTTTCTCTTACAGAATTACCAGAATAAAAAAATTGCATGAGACTTTCTCCTTCATGTCCAAGGACCAGAATGTTTAGTTCTCTAAATTTAATGGAAAAGCCTGGGACGAGAAAGCATCCTCAGTGCGTAAAAGACAGAAGGCTCAACATCTATGCTTTTATAGATATGTAACTATTTTGTTCTCTCTGAACTGTTGGGTCTCAAAAGCTAAGACCTCAAAGGTACTCAACTGTAAAAATAGATTCTAAGACAGTTGCTCAAATTCCTTTCCCTTGCACACTACCTGCACAGATTTTTTCTATAACTTGGGGGTAAAATAAAGCCCACAGCTTTGTTTCACAGCTTGCCATCATGACTTTTTCCCCTCCCACCTCATCAGATGAACACCAACATCGGGTGGTGCCCACCAAACGCCTGGCAGGCTTACTCAAGTCTCTGCCAAAGGTCCTCATTCCTTCTTTTGGGTAGATGTAAACTAGGGCATTCTTCACATTGAATTTGCATTTTACTCACAAAAAGTGTAAAATCCTGAGCACCACATGCCACAAGCACAAAGAACATCAGACAATAACGTTTGATTTGGAAAACAATTTAATAACATATGTAATAAACCAACGATGATGAAAATCATTACAGGAGTCCAGCGCTTCATGCTTTCACTGTCCAGTAACGCATAAGCTAAACTCCCCTAACCTCAGGGGCCCGAGTAGGAAACTTTCCCTTCGGCCCGACCGTTTAACCGTTGCCTGAGGAGGGTTCTTCGCACCCCTCTCCACAGCCAGGGCCCGTCTTAAGGCACAGCACACGGCGGCGGGACACCCGACGTAACGGCTTCG